ATAGAAGGTAGTAGTTCATTATAGTAGCTCAATAGAAGGTAGTAGTTCATTATATTAGCTCAATAGGAGGTAGTAATTCATTATAGTAGCTCAATAGAAGGTAGTAGTTCATTATAGCAGCTCAATAGAAGGTAAAAGTTCATTATAGCAGCTCAATAGAAGGTAGTAGTTCATTATAGTAGCTCAATAGAAGGTAGTAGTTCATTATAGTAGCTCAATAGGAGGGATTTAGCTCTTGTTCTATTACAATTAATCTACGATGCTTGTTTTTGGAGGATCGGAGGAAGATCGTGTTAGTCTTTTATTGAAAGAAGGGTTAACAGTCAGAGTATTAGCAGTCCAATGAATATCCTGAATTCTGCCATGTTTCCTGAACAGGTGGAGATCGCTAAAATGCTGGTGAAGGATGCAGGCGTGGATGAGGGAAGTATTGTGGTTCTTTCACCCTATAATGCTCAAGTATCTGCGATCAGAGAGGAACTGAAGAGGATGAAATTGGGGAAAATTACAGTTACAACGATCACAAAAAGCCAAGGTAACAGTTTTATTCTTTATTTCAAAACAAACTATCACATGAATCAATGTTAGATGTTCAGAGTATTCATTTTTTTAATTTGTTTTAGATTAATTCCTGAATCTTCTTACCAGAGTGAGGAAGGATGATTCAGGTTTTCCAGAGCTTTCCATCGTATTGTATTTAGGCCATCTGCATTTTGAGTTCTTGGTTTGGGTCTTTGTGGTGTTTCTCCTTGTGGTTTTGGAAACCTTGGTATCTTACTGTGAGAATGCCTACTGTTTCAAACAGGAAAACAATAGTGAGAATGCCTGTATGCATTCTCACAAAAAGATGGAGCCCACTTACAAAGAATGCAACGATCTATAACTTTAATCATATGTACATTCTAACAGTGAAAGACAGAATCCCAAAGAAAATTCCAGAAAATCACATCATATGAATTTATAAAAATTGATAACCATCTGATGAGGAAAAATAAGCATTATTTGTAAGTGGGCAAACCTGCAAAATCAGCAAGGGCTCAAATACTTATTTCCCCCACTGTATGGTCCACAGCCTTTTGGCTCAAATACATTTGATAATTTCTGTGGAGGGTTTGTGTGTTTCTGCTTACTGGGGGTTGATCTTTATATAAAAACACATTTCATTCCAAGCAGGAACAGCATGTAGCTACACAGCTAACAACTAGGACAACGGTGCGGTTGTAGGATGCATTCAATGGAAGAACTCATAGTTCCCCTTCATGTTGAAGATGAAATCATTATCTTTTGCAGTTATTTGTAACGGTATAAGTTAGGGATGGAAAACGGTCTCGGTTGGATTGGCGTGTGTTGGTTGGGTTCCTGCTGCTCCTTTTTCTCAGAGGGAAGCGTTTACACTCCAGAGCAGAAGGGGGCGCTACTGCGCCCAAAGCCAACCTCCAGTAGGAAACAAGAAGAAGAAGAAGAAGCAGCGTAGCCCATAAAAATCAGACCCAGCAGCAGTTTCTAGGTCTGCTGTATGGACCAGTTTGCATTTAGAGGGAAGCACATGTTGGAATTAGCTCTGTTTCCTCTCTGGCAGAATCTCACCTACTTTTAACCTCATAACACAGTGGCACTTTAAGTTTGATAAGAAATCCAGCCTTATTTATTTGATTCTATTTCAAACACTGCAGAACAAACTGAGTTTTGATTATCAGGGAATTGAAACATGTCAATTTATCTTGAGTTAAATTCAACCAAAGGGACCTAAGTCTAGTTTTGATCGAGCCTATGCTTCTTTGTTAAAGATTGTTTGCCAAATAAATGAAGCACATGTTGGAATTAACACGGTTTCCTCTCTGCCAGAATCTCACCTACTTTAACCTCAGACTGTCACAATAATGGATCAAATGTCAGACTGCTTTTCTCTTTCAGTTTTAACCTGACTATACAAGACATAATAGATTTTCCTAACAATCAACACATACCGAACCGAACCCAAAACCGTGACCACGAAACCGTGAAGCGAACCGAACCGTGGATTTTGTGAAGCGTCCCACCCCTAGCATAAGTAGAAATCCTCAGGTTCAAACTGTTGTGTTTCAGGGAGTGAATGGCGATACGTCATCCTGTCCACCGTCTGTTCCCTTCCAACCGAAGAGATTGTGAGCGAGCCCAGCGGTGTTTGGCTGTCCAAACATGTGGGATTTGTGGCGGATCCCAACCAGATAAACGTGGCCATCACTCGCGCCAAGGAGGGACTGTGCATCATAGGTGAGAAACACCTGAAGGTTTGACAAAGTGTGACCCAGGTTGGCTTGTTTTGTTACTCACTCCCCAGTCCGAGTGATCAAAGTTATCTCGATGACTCTGATATCTCTGGAATCCCTGTTACAGTGGGGGAAATAAGTATTTGAGCCCTTGCTGATTTTGCAGGTTTGCCCACTTACAAAGAATGCAACGATCTACAGGACTGTCTCAGAAAAATTAGAATATTGTGATAAAGTTCTTTATTTTCTGTAATGCAATTAA